CTATCCCATTTGTTCTCCTTTCAAATTGTTTTCAAAACAATCGCCACAAAAGATTTATGGACAATAATACAAAAACTTTGGCGAGCGATAAGTTACAGAGTACACAATTCGCGATCAGCCACAGTAATAAAATAATAAAGTACACCATAATAATTCTACAATGACCTATAGGCATTTGTTAAAAACGGAATGGAATGCAACGCTACACGTTATTGAAAAGTTCCTTATAAACAACATTGAGTGGCATTCGCGGTCTTGTCACTGTCATCACATATAAGAATTCTCAAACCATGTCTGTTGGTCACTCTTGAAACCGCAACATAGAGCTGTCCATGCGTGAACACAGGTTTCCTCAACAACAAACCCACACTGGACAACGATTGGCCCCGACTTTTATTAATAGTCATAACATATGAAATCATAATGGGGTACTGTCGCCTCTGAAATTTGAAAGGCAAGTTTGCATCAGAGGTAGTCAAGGACAACCGAGGAATCAACACTCTCAACCTAGTACAACACCCGCGCAATGCACGGTTGGTGAATTTCATCTGTAAAATTTTAGTCAAATTAGAAATAAAAATCGAATTTTTAATTTCAATTGAATAGTTTAGAATTATATAATAATACAATTTGACATAAAATGAAATATACTCCCTCCATCTCATAGAAAGGTTCTCTGTTCCTGTTTAGGACGTCCCGTATAAAGGATCTCATTTTCATTTTCAAAAACAATTAACAATCTTAAATGACATATTAATCACTAAATAGATTCATATAGAAACACCTAAATGTTAAATTTCATTTAATGAATATGAACAAAAATTAGAAACATAAATAAACAATAAAAAACAAAAAATTCAGTGAAAAAAGCATCGGTTATGTTTTAACGTCGGGTGCTTGTCGGTGAATTAGGGTCCATAACTGAAAAGAAAACTTTGACTAAGCTATTTTTTAAAACAAATTTCAAAAGTGAAAAAAGTGATATTATTTATACTTTTTGGTCTACTTGATAAAAATTCCCTAAATTAAAGAGCATTCCCCGTCAACGTGGGCCAAGATCGGCCTGTCTAAGCAGCCATATGCATCCAAAGTTAAAAGTTTGGGCATATTAAGTCACCCTAGATTCTCGATTCTTCGTCTTTAGAGAGAGATAGCCGTGGTTGTTGCGGGAGAGGTATCCATGCTTATCCCTTATCCAGCGTCCGTGAAGAAGATGGAGCCCTTCAGATCAAAATAGTATGCGTTTTTGGCGTCGGTGGGGAGATCGGAGACTGAGTATTGGGTGATGTGGTTCGGACGGAGTCCTATTTGTGCGACATGGTATGCGACTTTGTTCGCTTCGTGTGATTGAAACAAAAAAAGAGATTCCGCTTTGTAGTCTTTGCTGTTGGAGCCTGTTTATATCCGGAGAGAGGTATCCCGGAGTGTTTATTTTCCCGTCTAGCATTTTCGTTCTTCGTTGTACTTGGAAGTCTTTGTAACCTGCTTGTATCATGCATGTATGTTGTCGAGATTTCTGTCGCAGTTGTATCACGTTTGGAGGGGGTTGGGAGTTCAGGTTGGGAAGGAGATGGCGAGCTGGAAGGACGTAATAGAAATGCGAAGTATTGCACCTTCGGCGCTTCTCCTCTTGCTGTGTGCCACGTCTATATTTTTTAAAAATGTATCCAATAAATTTATATACACCAGATCGTAAATATTCACCTTTTCATATTTAACCTTCGATGAACTTAAATACCTTTGCTTTCTATGATCAGCTAACATTTTGTTTTATTTTTTTGAAATACATGGGAGGAAACCGTGGCAGTGAAGCATCCCCCGTGGAACTTTGATAAGCAGTGAACCCGGTGCAAAAAAGCAGGCAAGAAAAACTTATGTAAAAATACTTCTTTCATCTTTTAAATAAATAATGTATCCAATAAATTCATACACATCAGATGTTATACGCAGCATGTCAGCAGTGAAGACTAATGCGTTGCAGGAGTAGCTTGACCAAGAAAAAGCATAGGTAATATTTTTTTTTAGAAGTAGTAGTATTTATTAGTCCCCACATGACGAAATAAATGAAAATTTGATATTTCCAATACACGCACAAAAAATATACTCCGTATTCAATTGCAAGTACTGTTAAACAGCCAATATGGTAACCGTTTCAGAAATATATGAATAAGTCAAATGAATCAAAGATTTAACATTTTGAGATGTTTAACACATACTTTAATCTTCAAATACACTTGATATCTTTGGACAACACACGAACACAACAGAAATAATTATCAGCACACATATTTCAAAAAAAAAATCTATTTGATTTAGACTCTAGTGAACTTGGTTTCAAACTGGCTATTTAACTAAACAGGCACAAATGTCTTTATTATCTCTAATAAAGACAATAATAAGTACTGCCAACTGATAAAAACTGCCCGGTGAATAAAAACAATTTTTTTAGTAATGCTTGTATTATGAATAAATAAAAAATAATATAAGAAATGCCTTGGTGAAACTACCTGCCCTTGTCATGCCAGCCAATCAGGGGGGTGGCAGATATGGTATTCCGTGCGAAAATAATCCTATTTTTCCTGGAAAACATATTCTGGAACTTTACTTTAACGAATGAATCCAGTTCTTCACAATTCCCAATTTCGCAGAATAGGAACATTTGTAGTTTTGTTGATATTTTTTTTTTACCCCGGAAGACAAACCACCAAAATCAGTGGGGTAAATGCCAGGGTGCATTTACCAGATTTTATTGGAATAATCGAGCATTACAATCAAGCCAAAATCTGAACAAAGCAGAAAATTACATTCGAAACGAAGGAATACCAAAAAAGTCCATCCAATAGGCCCTTTTAGCCATAATCGGAAGCTGATCCACCGTAGAATAAACTTTCACAACTTCAGTTTGAGCTTGGGCCAAGTAGTGCGAGGCCCAATTTCCTTCCCGGAGAGTATGAACAAATTCGATCTGTTTCCTAAAAGCCAACTCTGAGATTTCCTGAATCGATACCATCCACCTCCTTTCACTCCTTTCACCCGCTCTCTTCAGATAATCCAGAGCTCTAAGGGAATCCGTCTCCACCTGAAGATTAGCATAGCCTTCGTTGACAGCCCATCTTACTGCTGAGAAGACTGCCTTCAGCTCAGCTTCAATAGGCGACTGTGCTTGCACCGGGAAGCTAATCGCAGCAACAAATCCACCTTTATGGTCCCGCAAAATTGCACCTCCTGAAGCCCTCAAAGGTAAGTAGTTTTGTTGATATCTAACATGATATCTCACTTTGAAAATGCATGGAATCCTTTAATGCTTATAAGAGATCAGGCCCCAAGAATTCATGACGCTTGCCCCCCCCCCCCCTTAATTAAGTCTGTAAATGTAAATGTAAATGTAATAATTACCCATTTCTACAGCTTTCACTCTAAATTTATTTCTATAGATCTAACTTAAAATAATACTATGAAGTTATTTCTTCATAATATATTTCTTTTAACTCAAAATCATATTAGTTTCAGAAAGCATAATCCCTGTTTTGAGAACTTATCTTAAACTTATCTCCAAAACGTGTTTTGTGAACAAACAAATCCTAAACTTGTATTATTCGTTCAATGCATAAAAACGTATGCTTTACATGTACAATAGTAAAACCTACATATGTCAGACTCCGATTTTTTCAAATACATTCAGTGCACTCAAATCTTTTTCACACCACCAATGTTTTTTTCACTCACATGATGCATAATCCCTGATCTTTTTATTGCATAAAATATCACACATTTTTAAATGCAAATAAGTCCAGAAAATCATTAATGACCTTATGAAACTAACTTGTCTTGAATTGTTTTTATTCGTTCAGTGCATAAATTAAAACCTCCACTTCTCATAAACTTGGAATTTTTTAAAGGCATTCAGTGCAAAAAACTTTTTTCTCACATATCCATAAAGTTAGCGGGACCCCCTTAATCCCAAACCTAGCACTCTTTTTTTAAGAAACAACGCCTATAAGAACTTGATGAAGTTTTGAAAAGCATGTAGTTTTCCTCCAGCATGAAGTTTTTCACCGTGCATACTCGCCTCTCTTAGAATATGCTGACAAACTTGTTTACAAACTGGTCTGGAATGTGAATGCATTTTGGACCCCTGAAATTCAAAAGAATGCAGTCATAAATTGTTTTTTGGAATAGTTAACGCAGTAGATAATAAAAATTAGTCATAAACACCCTAACCTCTTTATCATGAAACACGACCTCTAATGACTCCGGAAAACAGTCACGGCCGGGTCTTGGTAGACATGTATCGCTCTAGCCTTGATTGCGCAAGTAGTCTTTCTTTGGTCAATCTCTCGGAATAGGGATCAATGCCAACCATTATGACAAATTTTGTTTGTGCTTTTGGCTTCCTTGCTCGAATGAGTGTGGTGTTGTTAGATTGGTATGGCTGCTTTATAGCCCCAACACTGTGCATTCTTTATTCAACCAATTAGAATTGTTTTTGGATTTGGGGGGGGGAAACTGAGTTTCAAAATTTGAATTCTGAACTGTTACACCAAAGCCAAACCAATAATTCACCCTAGCTCCCAACCGTGTATATGCATTGTTCCGTATTAATTTAACTGTTCAGCAACAAACGGTCCAATGAAAATAAAGCACAGTGAGTATGAAATCCTAATGAAATCTCTACAGTGTCCAAACGTATCACCTCCACTCATTTCTTGCCAAACTTTCACACACAGGGCCCTAACTTTCTGATTTTTGACACACCGAACCCTCAGCCAACAATAGATCAATGAGCAATAAACAAAAGAGTTGAAAGTGACGTTTTTGAGAGGGAAACTTGAGCCCACTTTCATTTTGCTTTTAGATTATAATAGATTCCCTTATCCTATCAACGACCGGCGGCAGGGCAGCACAGGGCCCAAAAAATTTGAAGGCAATAAAATAAATTAAATTAATTTTTTAATTTATAACTTTATGTGATTATGTGATTGTAATCCTTTCTTAGGACCAGCCCTGACCGTAGTTGGACCCAATGGCAACAACAGATCCATGCTCAAACCTCCTCTATTTCATCGATTGCGAATTCAATTCATCAAAAATAACCGGAAGGAAGGCAACACTTCTGGAAGTTGGTGTTGTGATTGTTTCTCCTTTTACACTGGAAGAGTGTGGAAGCCGGCGCTGGTACATCAAGCCTCCCAGTGAGGAAGATGTTTCGAAACGGCTGTTAAAAAACAAAGATTATAAAAATAAAGCTACACCCTTTGAAGAGATAGCTGTGGAACTCTGTGAGTATCTATATGCCAAAGTTTGGGTGGGTCATAATATAGTTAAGTGTGATTTGGATTTGCTCATGAGTACATTTATGGCATCAAAAATGAAATTCATGGTCCGCGATGAGGATGGTGGATCATCTACAATTGAATACCCAGTAGCATCACGAATAATTGACACGTGTTCATCATTCCAAACATGTGGTTTTACAAAAGGGAAGAGAGGTGTTACTTCCATTAGTCTTGAGAGTTTGGCCAGGCATTTTAAGATGGACGTCAAACAGAAACACGACACTCTTTCAGATTGCCGATTACTCCTTAAAATTATATTGCGGTGCAGTGCTGTTCTCTTTTTGGAACCGGGAAAGAGACACAACTGTGCTGCTGCAGAGCAGTATCTTTTAAAAAAAAATGCAGAAGATCAAAATGAACCTGGGGATGATCACTTTCTAGAAGATCAACTTGTGGACGAGGACAAAATCAATGAAGATGACAAAAGAAAGCCAATGGAGATGGAATCAGCGCATCGGTATAAGATTGTGCCCAAACTCGAAGAGGATCCTTACGATGAATTACAGGGGGCTGAGGTGATAAAAAAATACAGCAATTTGTATGATTCTGCTCGGACTGCCGTTGTTGTTGAGGATAAAGATCTAGTATATCTAGGTATGCTCAACGATTATTTCGTTAAAAATAAGAAAGAAGCTACGGTTCTTAATAAGTTACTCTGTGAGGGGGAAACACGTAGAGAAAACTTAAGCAGCCAATATAAAGGACTGCCTCTGAATTGGAGAGGTCGAGTATTTGTTATGAAACAAGGGCAAAAGGACAATGGCTTTTATGACATATTTGGAAAAGATAGAGTAGTCATATTCCTCCATTAATAAAAGGACCTCTGATTCTTCCCTGGCATATGCTATTCCTTCCGTGGATCCTTCCAGATAACTAAAGAAACAAGTATCTTTTCCCCGAGTTTCAGGTTCCTGTAAACAGGACAGCCAATCTCCCTATGTTACTGTTCACGCGCCATTGATTTACTAAGCATGGCTACGTTTGCCAGAGGATGTGGATGCTAATGCTAGAAAGGTTTGTACTTTTTTTTTTACAAAAAATATCTTTTCCTTATAACCATCACAGTATCTTATAATGCTCGCTTTCAGAAGTCAGAGAATTTACATTTGATGATTAAATTGCAGATGTTTATTGATGAAGTGATGGAGCTAGTTGAGCTTAACCCATTGAGGTGAGCACATGTTGGGTTGCTCAGTGTCAATGGTCTCTCGACCGAACAACACAAAAAGCTAACAATCATGTTCAGTTAGTGGCTAACTCAAACATATTCATGGATGAGCCAATTTCAAGACTTAATCCTAGAGCTGCTGCAGTGGTGTAAGAGCTGTGAGAAACATTATTGATACTGGTTGAACCGTAGCCTGCACTATTCATCAACTCAGAATCAACATTTTTGAGGCCTTTTGATGAGTTAAATCGACTCTCTTTAGGTTTTACGTTGTTTAATTTTCATAATTTTGCAAAGTTTAAAACAATAAACTGATTAAGTATGGAATAAACCCTGCATCTCATTCTAATGAAGAGAGGACTACAAGAGATTTATGTCCGGCCCTTGGGGTGTAACTCATGCCATTTAATTGTTACATTGAGGCACCGGCTGTATTTGGAATTACGTATGCACTTCTACAATCGTAGTTATGGTGTTATTGTTTATGCTATGACCGGATTTAAAAGGACAGTGGCCAAGTTTTTCTGGCCCTCTCCATAATATGCACATTGTTATACTTCACTTTCTACGGCATGGTGTCTGTCCAATTCCATTACTCCCAAACAAAAGCATTGTATCCATTGTTGGCACCTTCTTCTATGGTACATGAAATATCTTTTTAGGATTCATCATTCCACTACCTATAAGTATTTTAATCACTACATCACTATTGCTAGATTTATGAATTATATTATCTGTGTCCCAATTTGATTAATGTTTTACAAAATTGCACACATTATGTAACACTGTAAAATGACATTTCAATCTCTACAAGACTTTTTCATTAAATGCCACCTTGCTTCTTCTAAGCGTAAAAGCATCTAGTATGAGAAAAACACAGAAAACTACATCTAGTAAAATGAAAATTATTTAGTGACAAAATTTTGGCTAAAGCTACAAATACCTTGGGATGGATGGAGTAGATCAAAATGATAATACTTTTTGTGTGTTCTTTTTCCAGTGACAGAGCATGCATGTATGGTGAAGATGGTATTTCTGGGCGTGCCCCGTTATGTGGACATGAGGTTATTGAAGGTGAAAACATGGTTGCTTCGATTCAAAATGTGAAGGTTTTCTTGGAAGGTTACTTTGGGTTTAAGCATGAGTTTCTTGGAGCGGTTTCGATTATGACTGGTGTGTTCCACAACCCCCCCCCCCCCCCCCACCTTTCATCATTTCCTTGGCGATTAAAACATCCAACTTCCAGTAAAGATAGAGGTGCCTCTGCGTTCTTACAAGTATATGTACACAGTATGATTAGGCATGGACCCGGAATAGAACTGCTAATCGAAGTTGCAGATTTGATATGGTGAAGTTGACCCACTTTTTTCAAGTGGCAATGCGGCATGGATAAAAATCAACAATGTGATTCCAATCATTTAGCAGAATTCTCACTAAAGGTCCAAATCACTCGAAATGTAAGTTCAATGGTGTCTAAAGTCCAGATAATATATCTTGCCCCAAGTTTTATGACAATACCTGGCAATATTTCCCCCTCTGTGGAGGTTTTTGTAATTGTTATTATTGACATTATTATGTATGAAGTATGAACTAAGTTCTTTTTTTGTAATTTTCGTATTTGATAGTAAATGGCACTATTGGCATTCTTCACTGGATTTAAAATTCTATCAATTACTCTATATGCATTGTTAACTAGATTATCTGCTGGTCTTTAAATTCTAGCAATAGTCGCTAGATTCTAGTGGCACTCATCAGATTCGGCGGCGGTTGCTAGGTTTCGATGGCAGTCGCTGGTGACTGGTAGGGTTGGCCCACCTGACATGATTTTTGAGGCCTTTTTATGAGGTAAACCGACTTTCTTTAGGTTTTACGTTGTTTTACTTTCACAAATTTGCAAAGTTTAAAACAATAAACTGATCAAGAATAAAATAACCCTGCATCTCATTCTAATGAAGAGAGGACTACAAGAGATTTATGTCCTGCCCTTGGGACGTAATTCATGCCATTTGATTGTTACTTTGAGGTAGGTTTCGAAACCTCCAAAGCCCCAACTTCTAATCTATACCACATTACTTGTGTAATTCACTTATCTGAGAATTGTCCTTCCACAGAGTGGCGAAAATCAAGGAAGAATACAATCCAACAACATGGATGTTTGATGTGACAACCTCAGCAGCTCAAAAATGTTATTAGGAGTTGATTTTACAGATGTCTACAAGAACTCAGATCTATACAAAACAAAGTTTTGATGAGTGTATTAAGCACACCTCGCCCTTGTTCCAAGGACTTGTATTTTCCAACACACTACTGGCAGTGTTTCTGGAGCCAATTTGTGGCCTGTTTGTGGAAGCAACACTGGTCTTATTGGCGTAACACATCTTACACCGCAGTTAGGTTCCTCTTCACAACTGTCATTGCATTGGCTTTATGGGCAATATTCTGGGCCCTTGGTACTAAAGCGTAAGTAGTCGAAACACGGCTTATTAATAGTTCTGCTATTTTGTGGTAAACTCTGGTGCTAAAATTTCATGGTATTTATGTTTCAGTCGGAGGAAGAAAATTTTGCTTAATGCAATGGGGTCCATGTAGAATGTGGTTCTCTTTATTGGATGTATTCGGCATTGCCATATGCCTTCGGACAAGTGAGTTTTATTTCTACTGTCCTAGTCCACATTTTTTGCTACCCATTATAAAAATGTGAATTATAAATTATAATGTAATAGTAATTTGTTTTTGTCCGTGTAACCGGCTGTATTTGGAATTACGGATGCACTTCTACAATCGTAGTTATGGTGTTATTGTTTATGCTATGATCGGATTTAAATGGACAGTGGCCAAGTTTTTCTGGCCCTCTCCATAATATTGAAGGTGAAAACATGGTTGGTTCGATTCAAAATGTGAAGGTTTTCTTGGAAGGGTTACTTTGGGTTTAAGCATGAGTTTCTTGGAGCATCCAACTTCCCGTAAAGATAGAGGTGCCTCTGCGTTCTTACAAGTATATGTACACAGTATGATTAGGCATGGACCCGGAATAGAACTGCTAATTGAAGTTGCAGATTTGATATGGTGAAGTTGACCCACTTTTTTCAAGTGGCAATGCGGCATGGATAAAAATCAACAATGTGATTCCAATCATTTATCAGAATTCTCACTAAAGGTCCAAATCACTCGAAATGTAAGTTCAATGGTGTCTAAAGTCCAGATAATATATCTTGCCCCAAGTTTTATGACAATACCTGGCAATATTTCCCCCTCTGGAGGTTTTTGTAATTGTTATTATTGACATTATTATGTATGAACTAAGTTCTTTTTTTTGTAATTTTCGTATTTGATAGTAAATGGCACTATTGGCATTCTTCACTGGATTTAAAATTCTATCAATTACTCTATATGCATTGTTAACTTGATTATCTGCGGGTCTTTAAATTCTAGCAATAGTCGCTTGATTCTAGTGGCACTCATCAGATTCGGTGGCGGTTGCTAGGTTTCGATGGCAGTCGCTGGTGACTGGTAGGGTTGGGCCACCTGACCTGATTTTTGAGGCCTTTTGACGAGGTAAGCCGACTTTCTTTTGGTTTTACGTTGTTTTATTTTCATAATTTTGCAAAGTTTTAAACAATAAACTGATCAAGAATGAAATAACCCTGCATCTCATTCTCATGAAGAGAGGACTACAAGAGATTTGTGTCCTGCCCTTGGGACGTAATTCATGCCATTTCATTGTTACTTTGAGGTAGGTTTTGAAACCTCAAAAGCCCCATCTTCTAATCTATACCACATTACTTTTGTAATTCACTTATCTTAGAATTGTCCTTCCACAGAGTGGCGAAAATCAAGGAAGAATACAATCCAACAACATGGATGTTTGATGTGACAACCTCAGCAGCTCAAAAATGTTATTAGGAGTTGATTTCACAGATGTCTACAAGAACTCAGATCTCTACAAAGCAAAGTTTTGATGAGTGTATTAAGCACACCTCGCCCTTGTTCCAAGGACTTGTATTTCCCAACACACTACTGGCAGTGTTTCTGGAGCCAATTTGTGACCTTTTTGTGGAAGCAACACTGGTCTTATTGGCGTAACACATCTTACACCGCAGTTAGGTTCCTCTTCACAAACTTTCATTGCATTGGGTTTTTGGGCAATATTCTGGGCCCTTGGTACTAAAGCGTAAGTAGTCGAAACACGGCTTATTAATAGTTCTGCTATTTTGTGGTAAACTCTGGTGCTAAAATTTCATGGTTTTTATGTTTCAATCGGAGGAAGAAAATTTTGCTTAATGCAATGGGGTCCATGTAGAATGTGGTTCTCGTTATTGGATGTATTCGGCATTGCCATATGCCTTCGGACAATTGAGTTTTATTTCTACGGTCCTAGTCCACATTTTTTGCTACCCATTATAAAAATGTGAATTATAAATTATAATATAATAGTAATTTGTTTTTGTCTGTGTAACTGGCTGTATTTGGAATTACGTATGCACTTCTACAATCATAGTTATGGTGTTGTTGTTATGCTATGATCGGATTTAAATGGACAGTGGCCAAGTTTTTCTGGCCCTCTCCATAATATGCACATCGTTATACTTCACTTTCTACGGCATGGTGTCTGTTCAATTCCATTACTCCCAAACAAAAGCATTGCATCCATTGTCGGCACCTTCTTCTATGGTACATGAAATATCTTTTTAGGATTCATCATTCCACGACCTATAAGTATTTTAATCACTACATCACTATTGCTAGGTTTATGAATGATATTATCTATGTCCCAATTTGATTAATGTTTTACAAAATTGCACACATTATGTAACATTGTAAAATGACATTTCAATCTCTACAAGACTTTTTCATTAAATGCCATCTTGCTTCTTCTAAGCGTAGAAGCATCTAGTATGAGAAAAACACAGAAAACTACATCTCGTAAAATGAAAATTATTTAGTGACAAAATTTTGGCTAAAGCTAAAAATACCTTGGGATGGATGGAGTAGATCAAAATGATAATACTTTTTGTGTGTTCTTTTTCTGGTGACAGAGCATGCATGTATGGTGAAGATGGTATTTCTGGGTGTGCCCCTTTACGTGGACAGGGGGTTATTGAAGGTGAAAACATGGTTGGTTCGATTAAAAATGTGAAGGTTTTCTTGGAAGGGTTACTTTGGGTTTAAGCATGAGTTTCTTGGAGCGGTTTCGATTATGACTGGTGTGTTCCACAACCTCCCCCCACCTTTCATCATTTCCTTGGCCATTAAAACATCCAACTTCCAGTAAAGATAGAGGTGCCTCTGCGTTCTTACAAGTATATGTACACAGTATGATGATTAGGCATGGACCCGGAACTGCTAATAGAAGTTGCAGATTTGTTATGGTGAAGTTGACCCACTTTTTTCAAGTGGCAATGCGGCATGGATAAAAATCAACAATGTGATTCCAATCATTTATCAGAATTCTCACTAAAGGTCCAAATCACTCGAAATGTAAGTTCAATGGTAATTGTTATTATTGACGTTATGTATCAACTAAGTTCTTTTTTTTGTAATTTTCGTATATGATAGTAACCGACCTGGCCCGGTGGCCCGGCCAGTGACCGGTTGGGTAGGCCTGGTTCCGGGTTTTTATTTTTTTTTAACTTTTTGGGTTGGGTTGGGTTGGGTATTTTGGGCCATTTGGGATGTTGGGTGTTTTGGGGGGTTCGGGGTGAGGGGGTGGTTAATTAGGAAAAAGGAAAAAAAAAATTGACCCGAGGCCTGGCCCGTCCCTGACCTGGCCCGGACCCGGTGGCTACGTGGGCCGGTCCCAGGCCCACCTATTCAGTACCGGCAGCCCACCCTGGCCCGGCTCGAAACTACTCCTACAATAAAGTAAGGTTTTTAGTCTTTTTACCACACTTTTTTAATCTTTCCTGTTATAAAATTTTGATTGCAAGTATACTCCTTATTTAATTTTTGTTGTAACTTATAAGCTTCATAAAAAGTTAATATATTTGAAATTCACATAGAATTTTAATACAACACAATATTTTATCCATTTGCCTTTTAATATTCCGTTTTTTGCATTTACATTTGCTACATAGCCTCTATACATATACGGATACCATTCACCATAAGTTCCCATTCACCATTCACCAAAATTAAGTTCTCTGATTTTATATTACACTTTTTTCATATTTGAAAGATTTGATTTCATCATCAATCAAACATCGTAAACCAAAACTAGATTTTCTTTTGGTATTGATGGAGTGCACAGTGGGGGGGGGGGGGTGTTTGTAGGTATACTTTTAGTTTTTCAAAGGATGCCTTTTTAAACATCCTTACTCTGGTTACATGCCACACACTCCCATTTATTCTAGACGTGGCCTCCTCCACTGAAAGACCGACCTCAGGAGGGAGACGTGTTAAAATTTAATATGAAGTAATTTAAAAGTTGAAAGTTGTACCTTTTTCAAAGTCAGTTACTGTAAAAGTGCCTCTTTCAAATTTTAGAGTATGTTTTTCTATTTTCTACTCATTTCTCACTGCGAGACCGTTTTTTTAATCATGATTGCATTGGTGGGAGTATTTTAACTTCAACTGATTTGCTGTGTATGTCTAAAATTGAAACTCCAGCCGCACCCTAATGTCAGACCTATGACATATGCCGAAAGCTTCTTCCAAATGTTCTCTTAGCTCCAACACAACCGTATTATGCACGTCGCCGACATAAATCATGGTTCTGAAAGGCAGGAGAAGAGTCAAGAGATGCCTCAGAACTTGCTGACATTACCATTTGCTTGCCATGCATGATTCTTTTGGGGAGCCTCTAATTACCTCACTGCTTATAGGAATTCTTACAGGACTTATATCTTGTATGCTGACAAAATATAGGTTTATAGTTTCAACGACACGTTTGAAAGATACAAACTGGTGCGACTATAAACACTTTATACTTTCCGCCAAGAATGCATTCTCATTTCTCACTAGTCCTGGACTCGGGCCGGGTGGCCCGACCCGGAACCGGCCCGGGACCGGTATTGTGTTGAACCAGCCCGGCCCGGTAAGCCGGCCTGTGACCGGTCAGGGAGGCCTGGCCCGGGGGGATCACGGTGCGGGCTCGGGTCACCCAAAAGCTGAACTGGCCCGGCTGGTTATTTTTTATTTTTTTTCAATTTTTTTTAGCTTTTTGGTTTGGGCTGGGTTTTTTGGGCCATTTGGGGTGGTTTGGAGGTTGAGGGTGGGGGTGTAAATTAGGAAAATGGAAAAAAAAATTGACCCAAGGCTTGGCCCGGTCCCCGGCCCACCTATTCAGAACCGGCGGCCCGCCCGGGCCTAGGCCCGGCCCGGCCCGGCCCGAATCCACTCCCTAATTCTCACCATTATATATATGTATCCACCATCCATTATTAATGTAACATTGTTAAATCTCCCATTGGATATGAAGGGAACCCAGAACAAATTCCCACACTTTCCCACTTCCCAGTAGTTGAAATGTTGAATCCGTTGGATTTCATCTTCACTTAAGAGTTACGGCCTCCATGTTCTCTAAATCTCTAATGTGCTAAATGTTCATACACAGTTCTACACTTTGTTACTGGTGTTGTCATGTGTACCAACTCATTTGCTTCATTTTCATTTGATTAGTTTACCAACTTATGGAGGAATGTAGTGCTGTAAGTCTGTAATAACTAATTGCACTTCGAAAAGTTATTATACGAGTGTACTGTAATTGCACTTCAAATTTATACGTGACTTTCTTAATTTCATGATCGAAAAAATAACTTATTCTAAAAGGGATCATATCATATATTGTCATTCAAATGAAATTTAATGTGCAACTTTAATATTTTAGTGATGCTCTTTTATCTTAAAGTTATGCACTTCTAGCATTAACTAATTTTGATTGCCCTTGCATACCTAAAAGTAAATATGCACTTTTAGGAAAACAATTTGCACATTTATCATTTCCATTTGCATAAATATTCTTAAACAAACTATTTTGAACTTTAATAATAATAATAACAATACTAATAATAATAATAATTTTAATAATAATAATAATAATAATAACCAATGCACCACCAAGTAAAAACAGTACATATACCAAATATATTTGTAAGAGAAAATATACACTTAAAGTTAACACCAGTATTATTTTAGACGTGCCTCAATAAAGTTAATACTAGATTCCCAAATGGACAGAACCTTTTCAAACTTTTCTTAAAGTTAAATGAATCTAGACAAAAAATGTAATATGTTAGTGATTAATAAGTATGGGGTAGAAGTTAAGTGCTTAAAAAAGAAAAGTTACGTAATATGTTAGTGATGCGAAATACGTAGTATTGTATATGGGATGAGTGGAAGTTCATTATACGCAAAGCGTTAGTCCATTAAGTCATTTGATTAAATCACACTAAATCAAGGGTGGAGATGCATTCTTATTTCTCTCCTAAGATGTTATTCTCATTTGATCCCTACTCTCTCTCTCTCTCTCTCTCTCTCTCTCTCTCTCTCTCTCTCTCTCTCTCTCTCTCTCTATATATATATATATATATATATATATATATATATATATATATATATATATATATATATATATATATATATATATATATAGAGTAGTCTTCCGGTCAGGTATACCTGACCGGAGCCCCGTCCGGCCTCCTCCATTTGGGGGCCTTCCCGGTGGTATTTTTTGCTCAAATTTTTTGTGTAGGTTCCTTATCAAGTCTAGTTCATCCATACCAAATTTCAGCCAAAAATTCAATCGGGAAGGTCGTCAAATGATTTTTGCAAGTTAACTGGTCCGGAAAATACATATTCCGGACCAGTTAACTTGCAAAAATCATTTGACGACCTTCCCGATTGAATTTTTGGCTGAAATTTGGTATGGATAAACTAGACTTGATGAGGAACCTACACAAAAAATTTGAGCAAAAAATACCACCCGGAAGACCCCCAAATGGAGGAGGCCGGACGGGGGAATTGGTCCGGCCTGGCCGGACCTGAATAGTTGTGTATATATATATATATATATATATATATATATATATATAGGTAAGAGATCAAATACAAACCATGCTTAAAATGCAAACTCGTAAAAACTCCGACAACCGGTGGTATTTTTGGCTCAAAGTTTTTGTGTATGTTCCTCATCAAGTCTAGTTCATATATACCAAATTTGAGCAAAACATTCAATCGGGAAGGTCATCAAATGATTTTTGAAAGAAAACTGCATTTTATATGTATTTTCCGGACCAGTTGTCTTTCAAAAATCATTTGATGACCTTCCCGATTGAATTTTTTGCTCAAATTTGGTATAGATGAACTAGACTTGATGAGGAACATACACAAAAACTTTGAGCCAAAAATACCACCGGTTGTCGGAGTTTTCACGAGTTAGCATGGGAGAACTAGTTAGTATGAGATCTCACCCCTATATATATATATATATATATATATATATATATATATATATATATATATATATATATATATATATATATTGTTCATCCAAAAAAAAGGCTGAGCAAAACCCGAACCAACCCGCAAGACCCGAAGGTTTTGCAGATATTACCCGAACCGAAGTGGATATCCGATCCAAAATCCCGAAACCGAAAATCCGGTTAGTATTCGGCCTAGACCGGGTGGCGGGTAGGGTTTGTAAAATTCCAACCCGACCAGCCCGAAATATCCAAATGGGAAATGAGGTGGAAGAAACATCCTCAGCCTTTTTTAGTGGGAGAGAAGTCAACGGTGTGAACAAACAGAGGGCCTGTAGCAACGTAATGTCAAACCGATAGAAACTAACCACCGCTTTATATAGTTAGGAGATAAGAGATTATGAATGAAAACTTCTAAAGATAGCTAAACATTTATAGAACATTAGCACATTATCAGTGTCCTAAAGGTGTGTCTAGCCAGATATTTTTAGAATAGAGGCAGTTAACCCAAAAATATCCTTTACACCAAAGAAAATAGTATGGGTCAGTTTGGTAAGAGCTATTTTGCTGAAATGGCTGAATATGCTAAATCTTTTAAAAAAAGGCACCCCGCAAAAATCCATTTCGGCCAAACCAGTAACTCCAAAAAGCATAACTGGCTACCAAACGGAGCCTAACATGTACAAAGCATAAGAAGAAAAACATACCTTCTCATCACACATCCGGCGCCGGTCGTTGGGATTTCCCCCCAAATCGGGCCTGTTTCCAACCGGCGCAGAGCAACCGGTGCATTTTTGCACCCAACCGGCGCCGGACATACTCTAACCGGCGCCGGTCGTTCCGATATTCTGCTAAAACAGTCCGACATGCAGAAGATTTCTTGATGGGAAAAATTCATCTTCCTCATATTTGATCAAATATCTCCTCCATACATGATTGTTGGGCTTGAATAGACTAAAAGATGCCACTCTTTAGCCTATATAAAGCCCTCAATTCATCAAGCAAAGACATTACATCTCATTCCATAGATTAATTCTTAGCTTTTATATTTTTGTTCTTGGTATTTTCTTCAAGTTCTTGAGAAGGAAACTTCAACCTCCAAAACTATTGGTGTTTAGGTATTATTTCCTTTGTAATTTCATGTTCCATTACATTTCAATATTGTATTGTGATTAACATGAGCATTAGAGACTAATTTCTTAGCTAAGGCTAGGGATGAACCTCTATGCACACTAGATGTTTAATAAAAGTTCTAAACCAATAAATTGTGATTTATCCTTTATATTTTGATTGTTTATGACTATGGTGTACAACATAGAAGTATGTTAAATTTAGTTTATGCTTGCAATTAACGTTGAAGTCTAAACTATGAACATTAAAGGATAAACATATATAGTACCAAGAATAGAAATATATCCGGTCTTGTATGATACGGGTGTGATGTCTTGATATTCAACGGGGTTTTCGGTAGATGAATGTAAGCCTTAACGGGACTTACACGTAACGAAAACCACGCTCTCGCTGCCTTAACCGGAGTTGAGAATATATTAGCGACATCGTATTCATGATTATTGGGAAAGAACTATTATTAAATAACTATTAAAGCATTTAGGTGAATCCCGATTGCCTTAGTAATTCTCATTCTTGTTTAAATCAATCTCAAAGAAAAAAGTTCCGGAAAAACTATACCATTTACATTCTTTGCATTCAATACTCGACTTTATAATATCAACCAGTTCCCTGTGGATCGACCCGGTATTTACCGGTATTTTATTACTATATCAGCACTTGTACACTTGCAAGTTCAAACCGATCAAGTTTTTGGCGCCGTTGCAGGGGAAACGGTCTTGTTTAATAAAAGTCCAAATAATTAATCAAAAGTCCTGAATTTATTTTATCTCTTTTCACAACTTCACTTGATCTTGGAAGAGTTTATTTTTGTGTGTGTAGACATTCCTTTGTGTTTGCATGCATTTGAGAAGTCAAGGTTCTAAATTTCTTGAACCACTTGATCTTGAAATAGAAAAAACTTGCAAACACATACGGAAGGAACAATAAGCCACAAAGATGATGCTCACACTAAACGAAAGGAAGAGGCCCGTGGTTGCCACCACTCCATGTATTGTCCTAAGCGACGCAGCTCGGGATTATGAAATGAAAAATAGCTATTTCAATGCTATGCCTCAATTTCATGGTCTTCCGGGGGAGAATCCACTCAATTTCATCACCGAATTCTATGGGTTCATCCAAGGGATCCCTAGGCATGGGCTCACCGAGGACGATCTCAAACTCAAAAGCTTTCCCTACACTTTGAAAGGGGGAGCAAGGATGTGGTTCTTGGAGCAAGCACCGGCAACCTTTACAACGTTGGAAGGTATATATAATGCTTTCATCTCTAAGTATTACACACCCACGATGACTCAGGAGCTAAGGCAACGAATCTTCAACTTCAAACAACAAGTTGGAGAACTCTTTCAAGATGCATGGAGGCGTTTTAAGGCCTTATTGAAGGAATGCCC